ATGATCTGCCAAGCCCAGCGATGCGGGGGCCATGAACTGCCAAGCCCGAAGGTGCCAGGGCACAAATTAAGCACTGGGGGAAATTGAGCTCTGGCACAAATTAAGCACTGAGGAAAGCGACAGCCAATCCAGCCGGAGCAACCCGATCCCAGAGCCAGGCCCCCCCTCCCCCCCCCGCCGGGGCTGGGGGCAGAGACTGTGAAGGACAGCAAGGTGGGGGAGTGGGGCAGCGCTCCCTGAAATGAGACACAAGTTTGGAAGCTGGAGTGAAGAGGCCGGAGCGACATGGGGCTGGAAACCACACCATCCCGCCCAGGCTTGCCCTTGGCCTGGGGCTGATCCTACACGGGGCTCATTTCCAAGGGGAGATAAAATGTTTGGGGCTCTGTTGAGTTTGCAAATCTCCAAAGGTGGGATGAGAAAACGTTAAGAAAGAGGAATTTAGGTGGGAAAATGGCTTCAAAAGGGAATAGCCCCCCCAGGGGAAGGGCCAGGGGCACCACTGCTCCCTCACAGGGGGATGGTCCAGCCAAAGATTTGTGCCCTGGGGGAAGATCAGCCCCGAGGGGCTTGCCCTGCCCCTGGGCTGTCCCACGACCCCCTGGCGGGAGTGGAGGTGCTGGGCTCCAGCTGCCAGGATTATCATGTCAGGCTTCTCTGACAGCTGACAGCACTCTGGGGTACCCCCATCGCAGGGGTCTCCCCTCCAGTGCCCCCATCCCTCCAACGTCCCAGCTCCGTAATCCACTCAAGCCCACTCTCCAGCATGGCCTCCCCCCACCCAGCAGCCTCCGCGACTCCCCCTCACCTTCTCTTCCTGTTCCAGCACAGCCAGCCACAGGGCCCTAACCCTCCCCAAAAATAGCCCAGAATCAATACAGGGCTGGGCTGCGCCTGGCCTGGCTGCCCTGCCACGTGGGCTGCACAACGATCGCTTTGCCCCAGTCACACATATGTGACACACTCCAGTCCCCTTGGCCCAGCTGGCCCCGTCCCCAGCCACCGCTCCCCCTTGGCAGCTCTCCCCCAAACTTACCCTCCAGGTGAAAGGGGTCGGGGCCGGGGGCTCGGTGATCCGGAGGCAAGGAGGGATCGAGCAAACTCTCCCTCTGCCTCAAGCCACTGGCTAAGCAGTTTGTTTTTTTTGCCTGCTGTTTGCCAACAGCTGGGGTTACAAACGGCTGAGCGGGAGTTGAAGAGCGCTTGTGTGTGCAGTGCAGGAAGTGAAAAGAGCATGTGTGGTCTGCTTTATAAGGGCATCAACTCTGAATGTATGTGCGAGAGAGAGAGAGCCAGGAGAGGGATATGAAGAATAAGGAAATATGAAGGGGCTAAAGAGGCAAAGAACAAAATAAAGAGGGAATTGAAGAATGAATAAACGAATGAACAAGTTAAAGAAAGACTGAAAGAATGAATGAGCAAAGAAAGAGTGAATTAAAGAAAGACCAAATTAAAAAAAAGAACAGGCAAAAAGTGAATTGAAGGAGGAACTAAAGAATCAGTGAAAGATTTAAAGAAGGAATGAAAGACGGAAGAAATGAAAGAACAAACTAAAGAAGGAAAGAGAGTGAGTTACAAAAAGAATGAAAGAAAGAACGAACTGAAGAAGGAAAGAATGTATGAGTGAAAAACTGAATTAAAGAAAGAACCAGCAACAAAGAACAAATTGAAGGAGGAAACACAGAATGAGCAAAAGAATTACAAAGAAAGAGAAGAAATGAAAGAACAAACTAAAGAAGGAAAGAATGAGTGAAAAAGAATGAATTCAAGAAAAAACAAGCAAAAAATGAATTGGAGGAAATTCAGTGTTGATAAATGCAAAATAATGCACATTGGAAAACATAATCTCAACTCTACATACAAAATGATGGGGTCTAAATAAGTTGTTACCACTCGAGGAAGACCTTGGAGTCATCATGGTAGTTCTCTGAAAATATCTGCTCCATGTGAACTGGCAGTCAAAAAAGCGAACAGTGTTAGGAACCGTTAGGAAAGGGATAGATAATAAGACAGAAAATATCATAATGCCGCTATGTAAATCCATGGCACGGCCACACCTTGAATACTGCATGCAGCTCTGGTCGCCCCATCTCAAAAAAGATTCATTAGAATTGGAAAAGGTACAGAGAAGGGCAACAAAAATTATTAGGGGTATGGAACAGCTTCCATATGGGGAGAGATTAAAAAGACTGGGACTGTTCAGCTTAAAAAGACTGGGACATGATAGAGGTCTATAGTATCAGGACTGATGTGGAGAAAGTGAATAAGGAAGTGTTCGCATAACATGAGAACCAGGGGTCACCTAATGAAAGGAAGTATTTTTTCACACAATGCACAGTCAACCTGTGGAAGTCGTTGCCCGGTGATGTTATAAAGGCCAAAACTACAACTGGGTTCAAAAAAGAATTAGGTAAGTTCATGGAGGATAGGCCCATCAATGGCTATTGGCCAAGATGGTCAAGGGTTCAACCCCAAGCTGTGGATGTCCCTAGATCTCCAACTGCCAGAAGCTGGGACTGGACGACAGGGGATGGATCACTTGATAATTGCCCTGTTCTGTTCATTTCCTCTGAAGCACTGAATACTGTTGGACAACAGGACACCGAGCTAGATGGGCCATTGGTTTGACCAAGTCTGCCCATTCTTACGCTCTTGTGAAAGAATTAAAGAATGAACAAAAGACGGAAGAAACAAAATACAGAATGAACTAAAGAAGGAAAGAAAAATGAATGAAAAAAAGTTAGAAAAAAACAAAAGAATGAAGGAAAGAACTAAAGAAGGAAAGAATGAACAAGTAAAAAAGAATGAAATAAAGAATGAGCAAAACAGAAAAGGAATTAAAGAAGGAAAGAAAGAACAAGTGAAAGATGGAATAAATGAAAGAAAGAAGGATTAAGGAAAGAAAACAAAGGAAAAAGACATGAATGAGAAAAAGAATTAAAGAATGAACTATAGAAATAAAAGAATGCATTAGAGAAGGAAAGAAAGAACAAATTAAAAGGAGAAAGAAAGAAAGAAGAAAAGAATGAAAGAGTGATGGAAAGGAAAGAATGAACTGGAAAAAGGAGTGAGAGAAGGAAGGAGTGGTTAGAGGAGAGAGGCTGGGAGAGAGCAGAGGGAGAAGGATGTGGGGAAGAACAGAGTGGAGATTTCCAAATGGGACAGAAGAGAAGAGAAGAAAGTGGGGCAGGGAGAACAGAGGAAAAGACCAGGTTGGCTGGAGCATATACTGGGAGCAGGCAGATCTCACCAGTGTGGGTTGCCCTTGAGAAGCGCCAGGATCACACTGGGGGGGGGGGGTCTCACCCTTCCCTTTATGTCTCCCACAGCCCCCGGTGCAGTTGGAGCCCTCCCCCCTCCCAGTTTCTCATTGGCCACTGACCAGCCTTTAGCTGCTGTGATGAGTCCAGCTGCGCAAACACAACCTACAGCTCAACCTTTAACTCCCCGGGTGCCACCCACAGGTGCCCCCTCCCCTGGCCGGCCTGTGTGGTTGTGCTGCATGTGCACATTCATGTGTGTGTATAGCTGTGCGTGTGATTGTGTGTGTGTACGTATGGTTGTGCATGGAGAGTGGGTATATGTGTGGTTGTGCACCGTGGGTGGTTGTACATGGTGTTTGTGTGTAAACATGCATATGTGGCTTTGTGTGTGAGGTTGTGCATGTGCAGCTGTGCCTGGTGTGGTTGTGGTAGCATGTATGTGGCTGTGCAAGGTGTGTGTCTGTCCCTGTGTGGGTGCATGGGGTATCTGTGGTTGTGTGTGACACCGCATGGTGTGTGGTTGCATGTGTGGTTGTGCATGGTGTGTGTCTGTCCCTGTGTGATGTGGATCCACAGGATCGGTGCTGCACCCCCAGCTTTGGAACAGTCTCTTGAAGGAACCCTTTAGTGTGCCAGACCCCCAAAGGGTCTCACTCTTCCTTAAGGGAAGGCCATCAGGCCTCACCGCCTCCTGTGACTGATCCTCCTGCCCCACCCTGTGAGCTCAGTTCAGTGAGCCCAGCTGGGACAGACTCCCGGCACAGACTTGTCTGCTCTTAATGCCCCTCATTACGTATGTGTGGTGATACTCAGTGTTGTCAAAACAGCCGGGTTTTGACAGCTGTTACACAGCACAGGAGGGCCGTAGGTGAGCACAGAGAAATGAAGGTTAAAGCACGGCCCAAGTCCGTCCTGCTCCGCCCAGAGCCCAGCCAAACTGCGGTGAACACCTCTGTTCAGGCTCTGTCTCAGTCTGACCTCCGGGGTCAGTTCCCAGGTGAGAGCCTCGACTCCTTCCCACAGCCAGCTCCTAACCCCACCTTCCCAGCTAGGGGGTTTGCTCAGCCTCCCTGCTGAGTGGTGGGGAAATCCATCCCCCTCTGGGGCGCAGGCTGCTAGGTGTCCGTGTCCTGGTGAGTGGATTTGCTGTCTTAGGGGGCCGCCCTCAGCCAGTCCTTCCTTTTTAATGACCCACTCAGGCAGCCACATAACATTCACACTGATGTCTCCCAGCCTGTCCGGAGAGCAAACTGTCCTTTTTCCCCACTGGGTAACAATGCAACATAAAAGGGGGTGTTTGTGACATTCTATGCCTGGGGGAGCGTGCTGTAACCCCCATCTTCCTCATTTTCATATAATCATGATCTTACGTATAAAAGATGCCTTGTAAGGTATCAGGGGAAAGGTTATGATCTGCTGAAAGTCATTTCTCTATCCATATATGTATATCATTAATGCATATGAAGTTATGAGGATTGTGTAGTATGGTTGTCACCAAAACATGCTGTAAGTTGGGGGAATCAGCCAGATATTAGCTCCCCAGAGGCAACAGCAAGGAAAGTAACCAACGCCCAGGTGGGGTGTCCAACAACCATTGTCCAGCAAGGGGACCACAATGCAATGACTCACCTGCATGAGGCCACACCAGTGGAATTGTTCAACGTTGCTTGGAGAGACTCCAAGTAATGCTTACCTGACTCTGAAGGGGGTGGGGGCAAAGCGAAGAGGGAGGAAAGAACATGATAAAAGGAAGAGATGTTTGCCATGCTCTTCCTCTCTCTTCCACTTACATCTACAGATACCACCACCAAGCGACTGAAGCGCTGATCAAAGGGGAGAACCTGGCTGAAGAGCAACCAGCCAGCCTGTGGTGAGAAGCATCTAAGTTTGTAAGGGCATTGAGAGTGTTAAGGTCAGCTTAGAATGCGTTTTGCTTTTATTTCATTTGACCAACTCTGACTTGTTATGCTTTGATTTATAACCACTTAAAATCTATCTTTATAGTTAATAAATTTGTTTTGTTTATTCTACCTGAAGCAGTGTGTTTGGTTTGAAACATGTCAGAAACTCCCCTTGGGATAACAAGCCTGGTACATATCAATTTCATTGTTAAATTGACAAACTCATATAAGCTTGCAGTGTCCAGCGGGCATTACTGGACGCTGCAAGACAGAGGTTCCTAGGGTTGTGTCTGGGACCGGAGATATTGGCTAGTGTCATTTGGTTGCACAATCCAAGCAGCTTACATGCCAGAGGCTGTGCGTGAACAGCCCAGGAGTGGGGGTTCTCACAGCAAAGCAGGGTAAGGCTGGCTCCCAGAGTCAAGGACTGGGGTGACCTAGCAGATCACCAGTCCAGATAACTCCAGAGGGGAACATCACAGTGTTTAAGGGCTATAGGGGGTCAGTTCCCCAGTCCTGTGACCAGAGACACTCAAGGGTATTAACTGCAAGGAAATAGGCAGCTGTCCTTCCCAAGACAGTCTGTGGAACTCCCCGCCACTGGATGCCAGAGGGTTAAACGCTGCGGTGGGGTTTGTGAAGGGGTTGGGGAACACTGGCATCATTCCTGCCGTGCCTCCTTCCCTGTCCCTCCCCACGGCTATTGCCCTCCTAGGCCGGCTCCTACACATCCCGGGAGAGAATAACCACAGCCACATGGCTGCCAGTATTGTTATACCAGCACCACCCTCAGAATGGAGAGGTGCCTTACAACAGTACAGCTTAGCCCCCTTCCTCTACAGCAGAGGTCCCTAAACTGTGGGGCGCAGCCCCTAGATGTTGGGGGGGGGGGGCACAGTGGGCTAGGCCAGCCCCCACAGGGGGCAGTGAGGGAGGGCCACCCAGCCCTGCCCTATCCCCAACTCCGCTCCCGCCCCACCCCAGCTCCATGCCTGACCCCGTCCCCAGCGCAAAGGGGCAAAAGGGGTGTGTGCA